AATCATGAAGGTGATACAGTCCAGTAAAACCTTCAGAACATGGATGCGCCATGGTGTTATAGGGCTCTGGGTACAGCGCTGCCTTGGCTTCGGATATCATTCACTGCCAGCCATCTCCACATTGGTCAAAGCCAGGATCGCCCACACGCTGGTTGATACAGTTTCAGTCACTAAAAGACCACAGGTCCAATCAGCAGATCCTCTTTTATCTGTATCTTCAGAACGAGCCAGTGATTAAATCGTAACTGCGAAGGGCGAGGACGAGGAAACTGCGCGGGGGCCGCCACGGGAGGCAGGTCCGACTGACAGAACAAAGGCGAGCACCACATCGCCGGACAGCCAGAAGCGAGGCGATTATGTGCAGAAGAGTGTCAGTACGTACATGGACCAACCAACACCAAGCTATAGAGCATGCCGCCCATCTCGAGAGCGGTGGAGACGGCGGTGGTTGCCGCAGCTCCTTGTTACTCGGCTGTCACAGCTGCCTTTTCGAGTCAGAGCCATATTATGCGGAGCCAGGGCTATGATGCCACAGAGTCAGAGCCATGTTGCCACGGAGTCAGGGTTATGTTGCCGCGGAGCCAGGGTCATGTTGCCGCGGAGCCAGGGCCATGCTGTGGCCAGTGTTGTGGGTAAGCAACCGCAGTCTTGCATCTTATTTGCTGTTTCTGGGCTGATACGAAACCAATCTCTACAATGTCAAGACAAATGTGTGGGTCAAATGAAGATGTCCAGCAAAATCCTCGGAGATGCTGCCATTTCTTACGAACGTGAAACTCAGCCATACAATTCCTGCATTAATCGAAAGCTAGGCAAGTACAATGCAAAATGTTTTGTATGCAGGCAAGCATTCCAAGGTACATTCTCCAAGTAAAACCAAAATCATAATAAAAACAACGTTGCAACTTTGTGTAAGCTATTACAGGTGCCTAGATCCGCTGCTTTTAGCAACAGTACGTGAACTTACCGCAATATCCCTGGCATAGGCCACCCTGGATTGATCCTTGCACGTCTTCTGGCTCCTTTGGACCGGTTACATCACATCAACTTCTCCCAAGGTTTGGTCTTCCAACCTTGTTAATGCAGCATCATCAGAAAGATCGAAATCTTCCATGATATTTACGAGAATGCTATGACATAAAACACCGCAACATACCACATGACGCGCGAAACCGGCGTCGCAACACCAAGACTGCCAAACACCGGCCTCCGTAGATTTGTGTCGTATTTTAATAAAATCTACGACAGCTGTGACGCACTTCCTAACTTATCGTCAACGACAGGCGAACTATTATCACGTTTTACTCGTGCGGCGCACGAGTGAAACGTGATAATAGCTCGCCTGTCGTTGACGATAAGTTAGGAAGTGCGTCACAGCTGTCGTAGGCGACCCAGATTGACTTCTTTGACGTGAAACGTTTACGTTAATTAATCGCGATAAGCATTCTTATTTTACCTGTAGTGCAATCAGACGAGTAAAAATTCTGCTCACATTCGTAAATTCACAACAAAAAACTCACGTCAGGCTGTATATGCAATCAACCTCTAGTTGTAATGGTGCAGGATGAGGCGACGCGCGAATAAAAAATGGACTTAGATATGTTGATAGATAATTACATGTAGAGATAGGGATTCAAGCGATCTTCTTCAAGGCGTCAAATTGACCGGACGGGCCGAAACGCGTATATAAACCAAATAGTGTTCCCGGACAAATCGTGAAATGAAAGAGACTCGAATGCAGAAAGTTTACGAAACAAATGTAGCGAAAAAGTCGACAAGGAGAAAAGAACGAATAGCAAAAGAGTCGACCAACATAAGTCGGAAGGGATACAGGTTGACAGGGGTAAAAGCAGAAAAGTAAAAAAGTTGTAAGACGAAAAGTTGACGGGGAAAAAATCTAACCGAAAGAGTCGAAAATCAGAACAATAACAGTGGTAACCGCACCTCGAATGAACAAAAAAAAACACTAGTAGTCATGATGATTTAAAAAAGCCACCAGGATTTGACGTAAAGTAAGACAGGTGAATAAGCCAATGGCCACGGGAGAAAAAAATGGGACAGAATGGGACTAGATGGGACTTGATATGACAGAAGGGAGCGGGCGAAACCATGCGGCACCAGATCACACCAAAAGGGACCGGGCGAAAACAAACGAGAGGCGACTGGACCAGCTGGAACTGGACAAGACAGAAGGGACCGGATGGGACGGGACCGGACCGAGCCGAACGGCATTAAAGGGGACCACTCGTGACCGAACGCAACCAGACAACCTCATACGTCAGCGGACGTGGCCGAAAGCAGCCGGATGTGACAGAGCGGGACCAGACGGACCAGGCGAAACCGGACGGAACCGGACGGAACCGGACGGAGCCGGACGAAATAAGACGAGACGAGATCATACGGCCCTGCACCAGGCATGACGCTGCCGGCTTAGGCGGGACGGAGCCGTACACATTTTAAGCTGTCTTTCGGTAAAGTTGCCACCTTAGATGCCGCAATACGATGTCAAAATAAAGGTCTCGACTGTTTCGCAACATCACCTGGCTGCCATCGGCTGCACGGTGGCGCCCGGCCGCGTTATTCCTGGAGTTTTGCGTCGGGGACAGGGAAGGGAGCGGGCTTCGCAGGGCAGCCGCGGGACCGAGGACGGCGTCTGCTGTGCGAGTGTGTCGGCAATGAGCGTGCGCGTACGTTATGAAACGATAAAAATGCCCACACTGTGTGAACCCATTGCAGGCACAAAACTATGGTACTTCATATCTCGCCGATATCAAGTACCGTTATTAGTATCAAGGACCTATCAAAGCCAGTAGACGCGCAACCAGCTAAGGGCGTTTTCTCGGTATACATCAGTAAATTTGTCATCCGAGGCTACACAATTCCAATTTGCGCATATGAACAATGTTTACCTGAGCATATTGGGACAGTAATTGTCAAAAAGGAAATTTTGACCGTGCCATATTTCAAAGTGCATAACAGCAGTTCACGGATGAGTTAGGAAATTATGCATGTGAGTTTTTGTAATGCAACTCGAATTACTTCCGTGGGTAAACTTGCATTATGCCACGATCGTTTTAAATAAAAAAACGCACGCGTGAGTTTGTGCATGCAATCGGCCACAGCAAGTCAGAATTTGTCATGGGGGGGGGGGAGCTTAGTGAAAATTCATCGCGCTTTTTTAACTTTGTGTTGGGAGCCATCTATGGTGAAATTGAAAACAGCGAGTCAGAGGGGAAGGGGAGGGATGTGCTTGGCTGCGTCTGGGCTTACAATGTTCCATCTCACCGGGACAAACTGCGGCCGTCAGCCATGAGCCGGTATAAGCCGAAGGGGAGGGATGTGCTCGGCTGCGTCTGTGCTTACAATGTCCCATCTCACCGGGACAAACTGCGGCCGTCAGCCATAAGCCGGTATAAGCCGAAGGGGAGGGATGTGCTCGGCTGCGTCTGTGCTTACAATGTCCCATCTCACCGGGACAAACTGCGGCCGTCAGCCATAAGCCGGTATAAGCCGAAGGGGAGGGATGTGCTCGGCTGCGTCTGGACTTACAATGTCCCGTCTCACCGGGACAAACTGCGGCCGTCAGCCATAAGCCGGTATAAGCCGCGCTGCCATGGCAAGAGTCAAGGTCCGAGAGCCCGTACAAACCCTGAAGTTGGGTCCCTGTGGGAGGGGGGGGGGGGGTGAGGCTAGATGGCAGGGTCTCCCCGATGGCCACAGTATTGCCGCGCCCTCCACCTCCGGTGCTAAAACCCATGACCTCGAAATAGCCATTGTATGGCCGAAGTGGTGTGGTGGTCCATTGGCGACCGCGCCATCATCCACCCGGTCTATCTCAGTGCGGACCAAGCGGCACACAGTGTCATAGATTACAACAAGCCCACGCGCCGATGACGCCACTGTCTCAACCGGTGCAAATATGTATTCAGCATTTCATGTACACGGGGCACGTTCATTAGCACCTCCTGAGATGTTTAGCAATTCAGAGTTCTCTGAAGGGATTGCTGCACACAATGCAGCTTGAGGCGCATCTGAACGCAATTGATCTAAATAAGTCTTCCCCGCCTGTCACCATACGACCCCTTTCATCGCAGCATGACGATCCCCAAGTCGAATATCATTGTAACAGGTCGACGTAACACTCAGGAGCGACGGAAGTCGTCGGACGCTTCGGAGGCGCCTAGAGTCGCCCCATTCCCGTGCACTGCCGCTCGTTAGATTTTCTCCAATTTTTGGGAGGCTCGAGCGCCACAACGCCTGTGGTTCGAGAGTGAGCGTTAGGTGGTGAGATGCACACTTTTGTATATACCCAGAGGGTCAGCGCAACAGTTTCCGCGACGATGCTGACTTTTGACTAGTGATCACTGACATGGGCAAGGACAGTGGGCATAGCTCGCTATGCCTCCGGTCCCATGTCGCCAAGAATCACACCATTTATGAACAACCGTCGAATTCTTGAAAGTATACGCTTACGTCAGCGGTGTCGTTTTCTATTCAGTACTGAGGAATCCAGCCCCCCCCCCCCTCTTTCAGACCCCGCCCTCTTACTTTAAGAAGAAAGTGAGTGAAATTCGGGAAGAAATACGTTTTTTTGTGTATTTTAGAGGCAGATTGCGTCATCTTTCACTGCTCATTTCCTTCCGCTTCAACTCATTTTTCGAAACTACGCCACTGACCTATCCTATCCCGTACGTTAGTCATAATCTTCTTTCAGTGGTACGTATATAGCAAAATAACCAAAGCGTGATTGATTAATTATAGTGTATTATCATACACCATACAAAGCTTAATTACGTTATATGATTTGCGTTCTCCATTTGGCTGAAAACTCTCCAAAAACATGTTGGGATGTCATTGCTGTTTTCGGTTCATGCCATGTACTTGGAGACGTTTTTCGAACGTTGGGCCAGTAAGAGGCCATTATCACAAGCTCCGGTGAGAAGTTTGGCTCAGTTCCTCGGACGCCTGTCTGGGCCCGCAGCATCCCGCTCCCTCGTCTGTCAGGGAAGCTTGCTGATCACTGCCGGGCACTCCAGGTTTTTCATCAGCTTGTAATAAAACTGGATGCAGTTGTGGTAGTTCTCTATGGAGATCTTCTCATCCTTTCCATGGAACATCATCTTCGCCTCACTACTGGACAAAACGATGGGGTCGAACCGTATGACGGTGTCTGTGATGCCCTGGTAGTAGATGGAGTCGGTGCTGCCGACCAGGACGGTGGGTGCCGCTCCCACATCTTCACCGTGGATTTGCTGGACGGTTGCAGCGAGCAGACCGAGCACGGGCGCCTCTTCATCGAACCGCGACGTCAGCGCCGGTGCCTTGTAGTGCAGGACCTCTAGTTGAACGTTGGGATCCGAGATGGCGCGGCGGTCGCGCTCCAGAACGTCTTCCTTCGTCTCGCCCGGCATGATGCGGTGATTGATGACCGCCGTCGCCTCCCCGGGCACCACGTTTTCCTTGTAGCCGCCCTTGACGATGGTCACCGCCGTCGTCGTCTGAAAAAGCGGCAGGAAGGCCGGCTTTTTCCTCAGGCCCCAGACCAAGACGGGCGCGAGCAGCGCTATGTTGGCGTAGATGAGCCGGAACAGAGGCGAGGCGAGCGACGCCAGCGCACGGAACTGCTCCAGCGAGGGGCTGCCGGCTAGCCGCACCGGGTGCCGGCTCGGCAGCAGGCGCGCCACGGCGCGCGTCAGCCGCCCAATGGCTGTCTCTGCTCCCGGCGGCGGCAGGCTCGAGTGGCCGGCCGGCCCGCGCGCCGTCATCTTGACGTCCAGGTAGCCCTTCTCGGTGACGGCCATGTGCGCCACGGGCGCGCGCACGCCCCGCACGTCGCGCGTAATGAACGAGCCCTCGTCCAGGACGAAGGCGACGCGCTGGCCGCGCGACTCCAGCAGCGCCGCGACGCGCGCGGCGCCGTGTCGCCCCGACACCTCCTCGTCGTGGCCGAAGGCGATGAGCAAGGAGCGACGCGGCGGGTCGCCGGCCAGCAGCCGCCGCTCCAGGCTCTCCAGGATGGCGTGCGTCGTCTGCTTGACGTCGATGGCGCCGCGGCCCATGACGTAGCCGTCCTGGACGAGGCCGGCGAACGGCGGCCAGCTCCAGTGCTCCTCGACGGCCGGCACTACGTCCATGTGCGAGAGCAGCAGGTAGGGCGTCAGGTGGGGCTCGCTGCCGGCCACCGTCAGCAGCAGGCTCAGCTCGTTCACCGCCTCGACGGTGACGCGCCCCGAGCCGAACACGGCCGGGAAGCTGTCGCGCAGGTGGCGGTGGTAGCGGAGCAGGGCATCGCGCGGTGGCGCGCCCGCCTCCCGCGACACGGTGGGCACGGCCAGGCCGCGCGCCAGACGGTACTTGCTGCCGCCCAGTGCCGACGCCTCCAGCGTCGCCTGGCTCAGCTCGTCCGGCAGAAACACGGGCCGCCGGCGCCGGCAGAGCGCGGCGCGCGCCAGCAGCCGGCCGGCCAGCACCAGCGCCAGCGTCCCCAGCACCAGCACCCACATGACGGGCGTCAGGCGGCGCCGCACTCCGGTGGTCGACTGTCAGGGCGGCCGGCAGACGACAGTGTCGGACGGCCGGGCGTTGATGGCAGAGCACTGCGGCGCCAATCTGGCACGGTGCCGTATCATATCAGATCATTATGTATCCTATCAACATTATCGCGGCGGCGCGGCCCGTGGTCGTGTTCAGGCATACATCTCAGGTAACTAGATGAGTAAGGAGAACTCACGTAACACATTTCATCGCTTGGGACGCATCGTGGGACACATGCTGCTTACACAGTCGGGATCTTGGCATCGCCTCTGCCAATGCGGCTCTCCCGACATCGGGATCTTGGCATCGCCTCTGCTAATGCGGCTCTCCCGACTTCGGGATCTTGGCATCGTCTCTGCTAACGCGGCTCTCCCGACATCGGGATCTTGGCATCGCCTCTGCTAATGCGGCTCTGCCGACTTCGGGATCTTGGCATCGTCTCCGCTAACGCGGCTCTCCCGACTTCGGGATCTTGGCATCGCCTCTGCTAATGTGGCTCTCCCGACATCAGGATCTTGGCATCGCCTCTGCTAGTGCGGCTCTCCCGACATCAGACTCTTGGCATCGCCTCTGCTAATGCGGCTCTCCCGACCGGCGGGGAAGCCACGTGATTACAATGTCTGCAAAGCGCACTGGCCTGAGGATGTGAACATGCATGGACATTTGAACGTTGTGGTGAGGTAGCCATGCCTGGCACCGTAGCCAGTCTGACGGGGACAGCCTGACACGGTAACCAGTCTGGCGGGGGCAGCCTGACACGGTAACCAGCCTGGCGGGGGCAGCCTGGCACGGTAACCAGTCTGGCGGGGGCAGCCTGACACGGTAGCCAGTCTGGCGCGGGCAGCCTGGCACGGTAACCAGTCTGGCGGGGGCAGACTGGCACGGTAGCCAGTCTGGCGGTGGCAGCCTGGCACGGTAGCCAGTCTGGCGGGGGCAGCCTGGCACGGTAGCCAGTCTGGCGGGGGCACTCAACACGGTTGAAAAACCTAGGCCGATGGCTGTGAGGCTGGGTCCAATGGCTTCATGCATTACCGTGACGAATGTGTAGGCAGCGTCGGAGTGGTTCGTTAAAGTTATGCAGGCCAAAAACGACTTCTTGGCCAAAATGTGAAAAGCAATTGAATGCTGAACAGGACCGTTACAGCGTATTGAAAGTCTTCGTTTGCAATTTGAATACGGTGTGCAAAAATCCAACAATTATCCAAAAGGGCTATGACTTACACAATGGTACAAGCCGTCTTGCGTGCGCTAGAATCGTCCAAGGCTTTAAAAATACGCATACACGAGATGGCATATTGGAATACTAAACGAAGAAAGAGATCTAGTGCTGGTTTGAAATGCTGGCCGCGTGATTTCGACTCGAAAATTGAATAACACTGATTTACGCACAATGTCCCGTTAGTGATGCAGTTTCACTTTTTTGTGCTTTTCATATTAATGACAGGTTCTGATAGTTCACCAGATCATGTTTTCGAGATTTGTTCCGAAGGTGGACACACGTTACTAACATATCATGCAGTACGCCAGCCAGTTTTAAATTGGTTTATTGGTATATCCGTTCCGTTTCGCAGCATATGGCTTTCCGCCCACCTGAACCCATATGGACTCAAGTGTGCAGAGCACGGCTGTGTGGCAGTACGACTGCATGCTGTTATCTCAGCCGCATTATTTCTGTCTTGTGTTGTTACAGCACTCGGCTGCTCAGCGTGCGGCCACGCGCCTTCCGAATGTATCTGCTGCACAGAGGATCTTCAGTTGAAAAACACGACTGCACAGCCAGGTCATGGACAGCGCCTGCTGGCAGTCCGCGCCGACCTGATGCTCGGCTGGCCGTCGAACGAGCTGGGCTTTTTCAGACGAAATCCGTGAACTTGCGGCAGGCCACGTTTCGGGTTATTGTTTTTCCGGCCTAACTCTCACTCGGTTTGGGCAGCAGCGTGTCGCTTTCGAGATCGGTTTCGAAAAACGCAACATTGGTCGCTTCACGATCGCGTGTTAACGTCACTACGGATCGGACGATGTTGGGTAGCATGAGTGGTTTGTAGACGATACATGCGCCTACATCATGCAGTTGGTTCCATGCCATTATGTGCACTGTCTGCCGAGGTCTGGCGTGCATGCTGTAAAATGTCCAGAAACTGCCTGAGCTTTGGTTTTTAAACGAGCTCGCGTAGACCGCCCGCACTTAGTAAATCGTGTTTTTGTCAGTGCGGTAGTCTGTTCTTTGATTAGTCGAAATGTGCTGATTTCGTTTCGTTCAAACGTGTCGAATTCATAGCCTCCAGCAGCTCTGTGTCACGTTGAATTAGGTATATTTTCGACAGCAACTGATCTAAGAAGGGAACGAACGGAAACGAACGGAAAACAAGGACATGCGTAGCCTTAAAGCAATATCGTAGGTTGTTATTAATAAAGACATATGTGGAAATGCATTTATTCGTTTGTCTGGTTTTTGTTCGTCACAGTAAATTAAGTTACTATCGAAAAAAATCCTCACGTAGCGCGACGTTGAACTGCCGGAGACTGCCAGTCCGACGTGTTTGAGCTGAGATAATTGATAATGTCACAGGCGCTGTTCTCCGCTATTGGGTACCCTGGTTATTTGCATAGGGCCTAAGTTGTTTGTCCATGTTCTACCATCGGCCAGCGGTGCGTGGCAGAAAAGCGACAATGTCATCAGTACTCACGATTATTTTATCGGCCGCGTGTGAAACTAACGTTGGACTATTCATAAAAACCGGTAATTCATGGGCGGTTAAGGTCATTGAACGCTAATTGCTATAATCAAAACTAAAAGCCAAATTAAGAGCTTGTCGCTGACTGCGAGTAGGCGGCGGAGTGACGCATACAGCATACGTTAAATGAGAGCGGACGTTGAATTTCAGCGACAAAGCGACCCAGCACGGGGCATCCCAGGAAAACATTTATGGCACGCTTTGCTCGCGTGAAAATTTTGTTGTTGCGTTTTTGTTGCTGTTGTTGCGTTGTTGGTCTTTTGGCAGCGACTGATACGACAAAGCGTTTCGACTAGATGCATTCTATGACATGACATATTTATGACAACATATTTAACATATTAATTATGACAACAATGACATATTTATTATATATTTAGGTTAATCTGATTCACCTACCAATGCTGGTGAGGACAAATTATTCTCTTGCAAAACAAAGCAAGATGGAAATAGCTTCCTTCGCTTGGTTGTGGCAACATTCACGTTTTGACATGAAACGACCAGATGCAAATAAATCACGCAATGGGTTATGCGCATTCAAGCTGATAGGTAAAGTACCACGATCAGAAAATCCAGGTTACGAAAGATACAGCGTGGTCTGAATCACGGTTCTTGAAAAAATATAAAAAGCTTCCATTTGTCGTCCATTATGAGAAAGGAGCTCTCTCCAAACATGGCTGTTAGCGTCGTATCATGCTTGAAAAACACTTTGTACGATTCAATAGCTAGTACGCACAGGGGTGGAAAATATTCCAGGCAAGACATGTAAAGGAATCGTGCAATTTCTTGGTTTTGAAAGCTACATCGAGCTGCAAAAGTGCGATAATGTGATCATTTGAACAGGGTTTTGGTCAAGCCGCGTCGGGTCAGGCTGGGTTGGTATGGAAATACTAGAAATGGTATCTTCCGCTGTCCAAGACCACTCCGGTCCGTGCGTGGTAATAATCTTTATATGTTATGCGTGGCAATAATTTTTGTTGCCATGCCTTTCATTGAACCCTAGCATTCGCATAGTTCGAATTTATTTACGTCTGGGTGGCGTTGGTCGCAAGAAACTTAATAATACTTCTCTTCGGCTTGTTCTGAATGGATAGCTTTTACTGTTTATGGCGCATGCATATTAGTAAAGAAACATATATCCACTGTGTTGTTTTACATCCATAAAATCTTGTCAACTAGCTGTACTAATAAGCTATTAGTCCGGGCAAGTCCACAATGCCTACCGGGCTCAAGTATGATGCCTGCACCAGCTCCGCCCACCGTTCCAGTCACGACCACCGCTGAGCACCGGCATAATACTTTTGCATGAGCATATCCTCGGGCTGTTTAGTGCCGGGTGCAGACGTTTCAACCACGTGACCTTACCGCCGGCCGGAAGGGACGTATCGGCAGGGGCGATGCCAAGACACACTTAGCCTGCCCGGCCACGGGGTGTCAGACACAGTTTTATGTCGACTTTGCAGACGTCCGAAAAATTCATTCATCGAACGATTGAATCGGCGCTCTCACTGATGCGCTTCCAATGCATGTTGAATTATAGCTCAATTCGCAGTTTAACGCACCCTAAAGGCCAAAATATGCCGAACCCTAGTCACGGCCATTTCAACCGTAGCCCCTGTGCCCTGCAAACTCTAAACAGAGTTACAGGAGAGCCACCACATTGTTTACCTGAACTTCTGACTGCTCCTGCAGTGTATGCGACAGGGTGTGTCCAAGAAGCCTGCTTGAGACGCCCGCCTCCAGCCCCGCGTTGAGGGTTCTGACCATGTCACTGGCAGCAGCCGTGTTGATGCAGGCAGGGCGGGACGTGACGGCCCTCATCTCGTGTCGGCCTCCGCCGGCCCGAAGTCACCCACACCGGCCCGCCGCCTCACTCCAGTCCGCCGCGTTTGTCCCGTGGGATGTCTCCCAGACGGGGGCGGCGCAGCGGGGGGGAGGGGGGGGGGGCAGAAGGGGCATGACACCCTGCCGACACACAGCGGGGAGGGAGAAAGAACAGGAGTGAATGCACTCCCGCTATTCGTTTCGATAAAGGCATGTCGCGGAAATATCAAGGCATCCATATCTTCATTCTCCTAGTTTTTCTCCGAGGAATAAGGCCATAGCTCACTCCTGTCTGACCTAGTCCATGCTATAGTTCAGAACGCCTAGTGTTGTGTTTAGGAGGCGCCTTTGCTAGCTCGGGAAGCCCCCATTATAAACCAGGAGGCCTTTTACTGGACTTGAAGCCATCCTTTACATTCAGGAGGTGCCAGTTCTGGGACAGGACTCACCTTTCACGCATCAGATGGACGCGGCTCTGAATCAGGGTGCTCGGTTTTGCGACAACGATGCCCATTCGTAAATAGGAAACGTCCGGGTTTGGATAAGGGGCCCTTCTTAGTGCCAAAATGTCCTTTTTAGGGTTCTGAGATCTTATGATGGGCAATTAGAAGAGCCCATTCTGTTTTTCTTAATTATTTACATTTAT